TTCCTGTCTTCACACAGGATCGTTACACTGGGCAGGTTTTGGAAAATGCTCTGAAGGGCTCTGTGTTTCTGACTGTGCTGGCTACTGATTCAGATGAGGGAGTTAATGGAGAAATCTCCTATCAGTTCAGTCAAGCAGTCAGCCAGACTGACTCAGCATTTGAGATTGATTCCATAACAGGAGAAATCAAACTCTCAAAGCCTCTGGACTTTGAGGAAGCACAGACTCATGAGCTCACAGTGAGGGCAACAGATGGTGGGGGACTCTCGGCAATCTGTAAGGTCTTGGTGGAGGTGTTGGATGTGAATGACAATGCACCCGAGCTGGTGGTCAGTTCCTTCAGCAGTCCCCTGGCCGAGAACTCAGCGCCCGGCACGGTGGTTGCCCTCTTTACTGTCAGGGACCGGGATGCCGGCGCCAACGGCAAGGTGTCGTGTGCCCTCGACGATCAGCTCTTCTTCTCCCTGCGGCCAGCCTATAAGAATTACTACGAGCTGGTGACTGTGAGGGTGCTGGACCGGGAGGACAGGGCTCAGCACATCGTCACCGTGACAGCAGCAGACGCGGGGTCCCCTCCTCTCACAAGCACCCACACCTTCACCGTGGACATCTCGGATGTCAACGACAACGCCCCCGTCTTCAACCAGACATCCTACACCATGTACGTGCGCGAGAACAATGTGCCCTCCGTGCTGGTTGGAGCCGTCAGCGCCGCAGATGCCGACGTGGGGCTCAATGCCAAGGTGACCTATTCCCTGTCAGCAGGGCAAGCGGCGGAGCGGCCTTCGTGCTCGTGCCTGTCTGTGAACTCGGAGAGCGGGCAGGTGTTTGTGCTGAGAGCCCTGGACTACGAGCAGCTGAGGCAGAGCGAGGTGGTGGTGAGCGCCTCTGACGCGGGCTCTCCTCCCCTCCGAGCCAACGTCACCGTGCGCCTCGTGGTGCTGGACGAGAACGACAATGCCCCGCTGGTGCTGTACCCAGCGCAGGACAGCAGCCCAGGCTCCAGTGAGCTGGTGCCCGTGGGGGCCGAGGCGGGCTACCTCATCTCCAAAGTGGTGGCCGTCGATGCCGACTCGGGACAGAACTCGTGGCTCTCGTACCAGCTGCTGAGGGCCACCGACCCCGGGCTCTTTGCCGTGGGGGCCCAAAGCGGCGAGGTGAGGCTGAGGAGGCTGCTCACCGACAGAGACCCCGTCAAGCACAAGCTCGTGGTGCTGGTGCGAGACAACGGGCGGCCGCCGCTCTCAGCCACCGCAGCTCTCAGCGCACTCCTGCTCAAGGACTTCTCCGACCTGCGCCAACCGCACAGCAGCCCGGCCGCCGACCACGACGCCGGCTCCCTCACCACCTATTTAATCCTTTCCTTGGTCTTCGTCTCCCTGCTCTTCCTCGGCTCCACAGCAGCCTTCGTGGCTCGCAGGCTGTGCCAGAGAAAGCAGCTGAAGGCTGGCCACGTGCTTTACGGGGCCGACAACCTGCAGAGCGGCCTGGCCGATGCAGCTGCTGCAGGGACCCTGCCCCGCCCCTACTGCTACGAGATCAGCCTCACCACGGGCTCGGGCAACAGCGAGTTCAGGTTCCTCAAGCCCTTCGTCCCCAGCCTGCCACCACAGCCCTGTGCCATGGGCGGGGGCACCGGTGAGGAACAGGTTTTCCCTTGTGTCCCTGTCCCCACAGAGGACGTGACCCCAGAGAATGCTGGGATTGTGTCTGCAGAACAGTTCAATCGTCTTTCCTTTAACTAGCACAGGGTCAGCAGAGCCAGAGGCTTCTGTGCCTCGTGGTCGGAAGGGATGCAGGCTGCAGCCTGTAGCAATGGTTCCTCCATAGTAAATCTCTATTTGCAATTGACATAACCAAGTTCCTGCAAATTCTAAGTCATGATAAATGTTGTCTCTCATTCCAAAAAGTAGTCAACCAAACAAAAAAAGTGAGGTTCTGTCACTCTCAGAATAATAGGTTTCACCTCCAATACAGCCATTTCCGAGAGTCTTTGAGAATGGGGTTAGCAGTCCCAGCTGAGCTCCTATTTCTTTTGCTGTCACACAAGACAGTAGACCTTTTATTCTTTTTTTTGTACCACCATGGCACCATTGGGTAGACCTTGCTGAAATTCAGAAAAAGCCTTTTCCATCTCAGGAAAGCAAGGATGTTTTAAGAATTCTGTCACAATATTGTTTGAGCATGGGTTTTTTCTTTCCTGGATTCTGGATGTCTCTGAGATGTGTGGGCTTTGTGTGCTTTGTTTTCTTGTCACTATATCAGTCACTACAGCCACTATGAGTCTGTATAGCCTGCACTTGTGGTACCCAGTGAATCAAGGATTGGCTTCCATTTAGCTGTTGCAATGCAGGTAATTCCAGCTCAGCAGGCAATAAGGGTATTTTTACCTTTTGAGTACAGCAGTCTCATCATCTCCAGGGCAGAGCAGAGCAGGAAAACACATAACAAATCTTCCTTTGCCCTATGAAAGCATGGTTGGGTGTTCTGTCTCCTTGGGATCATCCTAAAAATACAGAGATACAGCAGTACAAATGCAGTTGGGGTAGATTGTAAGTGTGCAGATTTATGAAAACGTGTTCATTGTCTTTGGGTTAATTGCATGAAAACTCCACATGTCCCTCAAAGAGCATTTTCTGAAGGTAGAAGCAAGAAGAAATGGTAAAAAGGACATTGAGTTTGGTCTCCTCGTGGTTGTCCCTGAATAATTCTTGATTTGAGTGGAAAGCTGTCTCCACATGATTCTCCTGGTTTGTATGAGGCCATTTGCATTCTCCTTTTTGTCATTTCTCCTTCTACTCTCTGAGCTGTGTTTGAGCATTTTCCTTTCTACTCTACTTAAGAAGGACTGTAATAACATGTATAATAATATATTGTTTGAATGACGTCTGTGATGTAAAAATTATTCAGAAAGCCTCACACTGTGTGGTGCTGAAGTTATAAACTTCTATAACATTTTAAACTTGGGTACCCCGAGTGTAAAACTGAAATAAAGAGAACACCCTTTTGTTGAGACAGTCTTTGTAGTATGTTCTTTCTGGGAAAGCTCCCTCAAGGTTTTTCAAAAGTCTAGGTAGTTCTTTTCTACCTTTTTCCTTTGGCTGAGGTAATGCTGAGTGGGTGTGTTCCTCCAGTTTCGAGATGCAGCTGATAGAACATTCAGGAAAACAGCGAGGAGGAGGAAATTGCTATCAGACCTCTGTGGCTCCTCTGAGCACTGACTTTCTGGCTGATATGGATCCCAGTAGTATGCAGGTTCAGGGAAATCTGACCCCATCCCTAGCAGAGACTCTGGGTTTGCAAAGGCCCCTGCAAGGCAGTGATGGAAGGGAGTGTCCTTTCCAATCGTCCTGACAGCTCCATCTGCAAATAGCAACTGTGAGGTGTCAGAGCACACAGTGTTTGCAACATTAAAAGTGTAGGAATTTCAGAAAAGGATGGCACAAAGATAGAATGGGTTGCCTTGAGAAGTATTTCATGGGAGCTCTTGGAGTTGGGAATTTGGTGAGTAAAAACTTCTACCAGGGAGACGCTTTGCTGTCAAGAGATACAGAGGACTACAACAGGACGACTTCCTCAAGGAGTGGATAAACAGGTAAGTCCTGAGAAGAGACTGGTGTAGTGATGCTGACAGAAGACAGATGTACATCAAGGATGAAGTGATCCGTAATCCAGTTAATCTGGGAAGGCACAGGCCTCTGCTGTGCTGTGTTCTACTCCACAAATCCTTTGGTGAAAGGTTAAATTCATCTCATGGTAACCAAAGAACCTGCAGGCAGCTCCCACTAGGTACTGGGGAGAAAGCCAACTGTGAGCAAGAAGTCTGCATGCAAACTTCTTTTTTTGGGACAGTAAAAATGATAAATAAAACTGATTTACTGCATGAAAGTGGTGTAATATCTTGAAGGAGTCAAAAAAGAAGCACTCCTCCTTTCTCTGTGACCGGGGCCTGCATGGCTGCAGTGTGTGGCTGGAGTCCTATGTGAAGTTACTTCCACTAAGTGTTTTCCACATCTAATTGATGTAGGATTATCTCTACTAATCTCTTCCAACAGTGAGAGCTATAAAAGGGGGTCAGTGTGTCTCTCTTACTGAGCTCTCTAGAGACCATCACCCTTTGTAGCTGAACTGCTGGATCTCAGGTCATTCCAGCTTGAGGCCCTGAGTGTCAGTTCATAAATTGATGATTCATTACAGCTTTTACTCAAAGGGTGGGAGGCACTTTCCTGTCTTGGAAGGCCTGTACAAACACCGAGATTTCCCAAAGGTCTTATCAGACGTGCCCTTTAGGAAGGGTTAAGTCCTTAGGCCAGGTAACAAGAACCCTTAGTGGAAGGAATGTATTTTTGGATCTGTTGGTCACCAACACAAGTAGATAATCAGGGATCTCAAGATTGGAGGCAGCTTGATCTACCATGGTCATGCACTGCTGGAGTTCACTGTCCTGATGGAAATGGATCAGGCAAAGAGTAAATTTAGGATGATGAATTTTAGGAAAACACACTTCCACCTATTCAAGGAGTTAGTCAGTACATCTCCCTAGGAAAATACCCTGAGGAACAAGGGAGTAGAACAGAATTGACAGATGTTTGAGGATAGTTTCCACACACTGGAACAGACCTCTTGAATCCATGTGTAAGAAATCAAGAAAAGAAGGGAAGAGACCAGAATAGCCAAGGGAAGACTTGCAGGTCAAACCAAGGGACAAGAAAGAAATGCTCAGACAGTGGAAGAAGAGACAGGCGTTCTAGAAAGGGTATAGGAATGTTGCCTGGTTTTTTAGGGATAGGGTCAGGAATTCAAGGCACAGCTGGAGCTGAACTCAACAAGGGATACAAAGAATAGCAAGAAGGGCTTCTACATGTATGTAAGTCAGAAAAACAAGGTGACACCTCCTCCCCCCCCGATCTTCCCATGATGAACACAACTGGCAAGCTGGTAACAACAGATCAGGAGAATGCTGAGGTACTCAACCCTCAGTCATCCCTGACAATGTCTCTTCTCACACCTATCAAGTGGATGGAGCTCAAGGCAGGGACTAGGGGAACAAAGTCTCTCTCACTGTAAGAGAAGATCAGGTTCGAGACCACCTGAGGTCCCTGAACATGGAAAAGTCTATTACTGCCTTGTGCTATTGCACAGGGTTTGGAAATCTCAGGTGGCTGAAGTTGTCCTTGTATTAAGCTGCGTTGGCAGAAAAGATAAGGAAAAAAAAAAGTCATTCAAGTATGACTGCCCCAAAAGCTGGACAGTTAGTGAGGGATATAGCGCTTTTGAAATAAAGGAACATGACTAATACATATTAAGAGAATTTTATATCTATATTTTATCACTATTACAAAAACATTTTCTCTTGTGGTAGAAACAGCACAACCACGGCACGCCTCTGCCTTCTTAGCGGTCGTGATCAGCTTCTCAAGGAAGAGGTGAGCTGGAGGGGGCTGGATGGGGCCTGATGTCTCTGTGGTGCCTCTGCCATCCCCGCGAGCTTCTCGTGGGCGAGGCAGGGCGGGCATCTCTCGGCAGCGCTCGGTGCCTGCAGAGCCGGGAGGAGGCTGCGGGCGCCGCTGTTGACCGAGAGAAGCGAGAGGAAGGTCGGAGCGCTGCAGCCCCGCCCGCAGCCGACAGAATCTCTTGCCCGCTCGTTCGGTGTCCGGCTCGGCAGACGCCGAACTGCAATCGTCCCCGCGCTGCGGAGACGTGCTGAAGGAAGCAGAGAGGCCGGCGGCAGAGGCCGGCAACTGTGAGCCGGAGGAGCAATTGCAGTAGAAGCGGGAACCGAAGCGGGTACGAGATCTGCGGGCGGCAGCGGGGAGCTCCCGACGCAGTTGCGGTGCCGGCGGTGCGGCGGCGGAGATGTGCTCGGCGGGGAGGCGCTGGGGCCGGCGGCAGCGAGTCCTGCTCTGGGGCGTCCTACTGGCGGCCTGGGAGGCGGCGTGGGGGCAGCTGCGCTACTCGGTGCCCGAGGAGATGCCCAAGGGCTCGTTCGTGGGCGACGTGGCCAAGGACCTGGGACTGCAGATGCCGGCGCTCCAAGACCGCGGTGTCCGAGTTCTGACGGAAGGTACGAGGCAGTATTTTGCTCTGCACGAAAAGACGGGACATTTAGTGATTGCCGAGAGGATCGACAGAGAGCAGCTGTGCGAGGGTGTGGAGCAATGCATGCTGCGCTGTGAGCTGATAGTAGAGAGAGAAATGAAGGTTTATGAAATCCAAGTAGAAATCTCGGATATTAACGACAATGCGCCAATATTTAAGGAAATAGAGCTGGAGGAGACGATAAGCGAGAACACAGCGCCAGGTTCGCAGTTTCCACTTCCCAGTGCTCACGATCCGGACTCGGGACAGAATTCCCTGCAGAGCTACGAGCTGAGCGGCGACGAGCACTTCTCGCTGGCCGTGCAGACGGGCCCCGGCGGGGATCAGCGTCCCGAGCTGGTGCTGGCGAAGGCGCTGGACCGGGAGGAGGCGGCGTTCCACGAGCTGGTGCTGAGGGCGAGCGACGGCGGCGATCCGGCCCGGACGGGCACGGCGCGGATCCGCGTGACGGTGCTGGACGCGAACGACAACGCGCCCGTGTTCAGCCAGGCGGAGTACACGGTGCGTGTGCCGGAGGACGTGCCCGTGGGCTCCGTCCTCGTCACCGTCACGGCCACCGACGCCGACGAGGGCTTTAATGGGCACGTGAAATATTCGTTCAAAACAATTACAGAAAAAGCCTTGCAGATTTTCCAGTTGGATGCCGAGACTGGGGAGATCACTCTGTTGAGAAGCCTGGACTTCGAGCAGAGCGACTCGTACGAACTGTATGTCCAGGCACGGGACGGCGGCAGCCTTTCCGACATAGCGAAAGTTGCGATCTCGGTGACAGACGTTAATGACAACGTGCCCGAGATTTCGATGCGGTCCGCACTGAGTGAGATTTCTGAGGACGCCCCGACGGGTACAGTGGTGGCCCTGCTGCACGTGCAGGACCGAGACTCGGGGGCCAACGGCGAGGTGCGCTGCTCCCTTGATGGGAGCCCCCCGTTCCGCCTGGAGAGCTCGCAGGGCAGCTACTACCGCGTGGTGACAGCGAGAGAGCTGGACCGCGAGCAGGAGTCCGAGTATAACGTGACGGTGCGGGCGGCCGACGGCGGGTGGCCGGCGCTGCAGAGCAGCACGGTGCTGGCGCTGCGGGTGCTGGACGTGAACGACAACGCGCCGGTGTTCGCGCAGGAGCGCTACAGCGCGCGGCTGCGGGAGAACAACGCGGCGGGCGCGCTGGTGCTGGTGGTGCGGGCGACGGACGCCGACTGGGGTGGGAACGCGCGCGTGCGGTACCGGCTGGCGGAGGGGCGGGTGCGGGGCGCGCCGCTGTCGTCGTACGTGTCGGTGCAGGCGGAGACGGGCGCGCTGTACGCGCTGCGCTCGTTCGACTACGAGCAGGTGCGCGAGGTGGGGCTGTGGGTGCGGGCGGAGGACGGCGGCTCGCCGGCGCTGAGCAGCAACGTGTCGGTGCGGCTGCTGATCGTGGACGAGAACGACAACGCGCCGCAGGTGCTGTACCCGCCGGCGGCGGGGCCGGGCGCAGGCTTGGGGGCGGGGGCGGGCTCGGGCTGGGCGGGCGTGGAGCTGGCGCCGCGCTCGGGCTCGCCCGGCGCGCTGGTGGCCAAGGTGGTGGCGGTGGACGCGGACGCGGGGCAGAACGCGTGGCTGTCGTACGAGCTGGCCAAGGCCACGGAGCCGGGGCTGTTCCGCGTGGGGCTGCACAGCGGCGAGGTGCGCACGGCGCGCTCGCCGCTGGCCCGCGACGCGGCGCGCCACAGCCTGCTGGTGCTGGTCAAGGACCACGGCCGGCCGGCGCTGTCGGCCACGGCCACGCTCAGCCTGGTGCTGGCCGACAGCGTGGCCGAGCTGCTGGCCGAGCTGGGCAGCGCGGCGCACGCAGAGGCGGCGCCGGCCGAGCCGGCCGCCAGCCTGACGCGCTGGCTCGTGCTGGCCGTGGCCGCTGTCTCCTGCCTCTTCCTCGCCTTCCTGCTGCTGCTGCTGGCGCTGCGCCTGAGGCGCTGGTGCCGCTCGCAGCAGCAGCAGCAGCAGCTGCTGGCCACGGCCGGCGCCGCCTTGCGCGGCGTGCCTGCCACGCACTTCGTGGGCATCGACGGCGTCCGCGCCTTCCTGCACTCCTACTCGCACGACGTGTCTCTCACGGCCGACTCGCGCAAGAGCCACCTGCGCTTCTCGGCCGCCAGCTGCTGCGACACCCTTCCCGTCCGACCAACAGCTTCTGATCATCCGGCTTCAGATGATCCTGTTACTTCAGATGAAGTTGACGAGAGCGGTGGGCAAGCATCCTCTCAGGTGCGGTAATTTTTAAACTTCATTTTGGTTTTAGTATTCTTAGCGTAGCCACTGGCATTTCACAGTGCACTGTTCACTGTCTTGGAAATCGCTTCTTAAGATGGTCACTAGCCCGTGAATGTCACCTGCTGAATGTGTGCTGAGTCGGCTGTGTGTGCTTTATGTGTCCTATTCTCTACCGCCTGCCAGAGCTCATTTTATCTAGCTTTCCTTAAGGCTGGGAAGTTCCGTTGCACGTGCAACTTCACGAGGAAAACTCATTCTTCTCGTCTTCTTCTGGTATTTCTTCGATTTTTTTTTTTTTTTTGAGGACTTGCTAGTACCCGGTTCCGAGCATTTCATTGTATCAGCTCTCAAATTCTAGTAGAATTGGACAGTCTTGTAGCTTGAAAGCCAACACGTTTAAAGTCGCACGTTTCTTCGAAATCTGCCTTCAACAAAAGAATTAGTGAATCCCACTTAAGGCCACTCGAAATTTTACTAAGAGGTTCGTGTTAGATGGTGCAAAATTCCTCTGATAGCCCACCGAGTTTTTTTTCCCCCGCTGCTGAGCTAAACATTTGGACTCGATAAAAACGTATTTGCCAATTACTGTATAGGCATACTTATTGAAATAGAGTATATTTCCTAGAACATGCATTTTAAAAGTGTTTAAAAACAAAGTATGATTCGTCACTATCTCCTTATAGTGTGGCTAATTTTGGAATGGGAGTTAATCTGGAAACAGCGATTTGAAAGGTACCTCAGTGTGCATGAATATGTGGGTGTGGGTTGTTATGTGCGATTGTCGCCATAAAGGAGGTAGTGAATTGGCGGTGACAGGTTTCAGTAAAGTTCCCACGCCACCATGTAAATAACCACATCCATCTCTAGACTTCATATAAGATGTTTACAGTATTGCTAACTCTTGTCTTCTGAAACACTACAAATTCAAATCCGCTTCTTGTTCTGAAAGGTTATTAATTCGTTACCGTGAGTTGTGCACAGGTGCAGCTGGAGGAAAAGGAATTATCCTTCACTGGTTGAACGGCCAAAGTGAGCAGGAAAACATATTTTCTAAATATACCTCCCTGAGAAGGCTTTGAAGTTGGCATCTGCAGAGATGCAGCGTTGGTGTATGTGCAAGAGCAACTCCACCGAGCAGATAGAGTGGAGAGTTTTCTAATCTCTCCTTGTCTTCTGCGTGAGGGGCTGTAATGATACAGGCTTCCCTCGGGATTTGTTGTTGTTGTTTTTTGTTTGTTTGTTTGTGGGTTTGTTTTTTTCTCTGCTGTAAGAGAGGTGAGGTTCTAACTTACAGATGAGGTACAACAGCTTTCCGTCAGGGATCTGCCTGTTTTCTTTTGATTGTTTAAGCAGCGGTAACCGCCACCAACATTTCCCAGAAAGTATTCTTAAGGTTGGAGACCAGTTATGGCCGTGGTTTGTGGGAGACAGGCTAAAGGAATTCGGTGTTAGGTTGTATGGCACTGATACGATGATGCTGCGCTTTGAATGTCGAAAGAGATGGGCTCAGATCTGGTGTGACCGCTGTGGTTTTCTCAGTGGCTGGAATTCCTGGCTTTGCTTGGAAATCAGTGACCGCTGTTCAAAGGGGGGAAACTTCGTGCTAGCTGTCGGTCTCTCAGCTATCAGAAATAAACCCACTGCCCACGAGCAGTGCCTCAGCGTTCGCTCTGTCCTGCCTTTTCTCTCACGGCGGTGAGAAGATGGCAGCGGGAACACCCCGCGCCCCACTGAAGAGATCAGTAAGATCACAGCAGGGGAGAGATTAAGGTCCTGCTGCACATCCTTCAAGCAACGGGGGAGGATTTGTCCTGCAGAAGACTTGCAAGTGTAAGGAATTCAGCCAATGGGAATTCCTAAATATACCCTTTCAGCACAAACAGAAGTTTTCTGTTTCACGGTACCGATTACCTGTGTATTTCCCAATCCGTGTTAATTGAAGGACTTGCAGAGCAGGACCTTCGAGCTGTTCTTTCTCTCGGACGTTGTGGTTCTCAAACACGGACTCAGGGTGTCACTGTTGACCAAGGCGGAGAAGCAGCTCCACCGTCGGCTCCTCCCCGGCGCCCGCTCATTGCGGCTCCGCTCGGCGCAGAGCAGGGAGAAAAGCAGGAACCGCTCGATTCTGCCTTGCTCCGACCAGCAACAGGGATTTCATACATTTATTTCTCTCGGATACCGGCTCAGCTGCTCGGAAAGCCTAACCTAGAGTCGTCTGCAGACTACTGTTCAGCAAAGCCGAGAATGAAGGTCAGATCGGCAGCCCAAGGCTGGGCGGCCGCCGGGCGGGTCGCGTTGCTGGGCTTGGTCCTGCTGCTGTGCTGCCGGGCGGCGCCGGGCGGCTCCGCTACGCCATCCCCGAGGAGCTGCCCACAGGCTCGCTCGTGGGGCCTCTGGCACGGGACCTGGGGCTCGGCCCGGACGAGCTGCCGGCACGCAAGCTGCGGATCGTCGCTGGTGATGAAAAGCAGTACTTCACTCTCGGGGAAGATAATACAAATCTGCGGGTAAACCAAAGGATGGACCGAGAGGGTATCTGCGGGGCCGTGTCTCCCTGTGTCCTCCGCTTGGAGGCATTCATGGAAAACCCTTTCGACATGTTTCATGTGAGCGTTACTATCCAGGATATCAATGACAACGCGCCGCAGTTTAACAAAGAATTTGTTACCATAGAAATGATCGAGTCGACGCCTCCTGGGACCAGGTTCCCACTGGGCAGCGGCAGAGACCCCGACATTGGGGCAAACTCATTACAAAAGTACGAACTTACCCCCAATCCACTCTTCTCACTCTTTGTGAGGGAGAGTCCTGATGGGACGAAACACGCTGAACTAGTACTGGAGAAAAACTTAGATCGAGAAAAACAGAGAAATCACCATTTGGTACTGACGGCACTGGATGGAGGGGATCCAGTCCGGTCCGGGACAGCCCAGATTAATATTAACGTGACCGACGCAAATGACAACCCACCGGTATTCACCAAGGAGACCTACAAGGTTCAACTGATGGAAAACCTGCCAGAGGGTTCCTTAGCGTTTCAGGTGAAAGCTACTGACAGTGATGAAGGTACAAATGCAGAAACTACCTACTCTTTCAGTGACATCGCAGACAGTGCTCGCCAGCTCTTTTCTCTAGACCCCAGGACAGGGGATGTGAAGGTTACAGGCCCCTTGGATTATGAAGAAGGGAAATATTACGAAGCAACTGTTGAAGGCAAGGATGGTGGTGGGCTCACTGCGCATGCCAAAGTACATATAGACATTACAGACGTAAATGACAACGCGCCAACCCTTTCCCTTCTGCCTATCTTAAATCCGATACCCGAAGACTCAGTCCCGAGCACAGTCGTAGCTGTGATCAACGTCCGTGACAGAGATTCGGGAGAAAACGGAGAAGTGAGCTGTAACATGGACGGAAATCTGCCTTTCAGATTAGAAACGTCATCGGAGAACACCTATAAACTAATAATAGCCAGTGTCCTGGACAGAGAAACAGTATCTGCTTACAATATCACCATCACTGCAAGGGACCGGGGCAGGCCGGCGCTATCGAGCACGGCGGAGCTGGTGCTGGAGGTGTCGGACGTGAACGACAACGCGCCGGTGTTCGAGGAGGCGGCGTACAGCGCCTACGTGCGGGAGAACAACGTGGCGGGCGCGCTGGTGCTGCGCGTGAGCGCGCGGGACGCGGACGCGGGCGCCAACGGGCGCGTGAGCTACTGGCTGGCGGGCGGCAGCGCGGGCGCGGCGGGCGCGGCGCCGCTCGTGTCGGTGGAGGCGCGGAGCGGCGCGGTGTACGCGCAGCGCTCCTTGGACTACGAGCAGTGCCGCGAGTTCGCGGTGGCCGTGCGGGCGCAGGACGGCGGGGCGCCGGCGCGCAGCTCCACGGCCACGGTGCGCGTCTTCGTGCTCGACCAAAACGACAACGCGCCGCGGGTGCTCTACCCGCCGCCGGCGGCGGGAGGGGCTTCTTCGGTGGCGGCGGCTTTCGAGGTGGTGCCGCGGTCGGCCGAGGCCGGCTACCTGGTGGGCAAGGTGGTGGCGGTGGACGCGGACGCGGGGCGCAACGCGTGGCTGTCGTACGAGCTGGTGCAGGCGTCGGAGCCGGCGCTGTTCCGCGTGGGGCTGCAGAGCGGCGAGGTGCGCACGGCGCGGGCCGTGTCGGAGCGGGACGCGGCCAAGCAGCGGCTGGTGGCCGTGGTGAAGGACCACGGGCAGCCGGCGCTGTCGGCCACGGCCACGCTGCACGTGGTGCTGGCCGACAGCTTGCAGGAGGCGCTGCCGGAGCTGAGCGAGCGGCCGGCGGGCGCCGACGCGCCGGCCGAGCTGCAGTTCTACCTGGTGCTGGCGCTGGCGCTGCTGTCGGCGCTCTTCGTGCTCAGCGTGGCGCTGGCCGTGCTGGCGCGGCTGCGCCGGGCCGGGCCGCCCGCCGTGCTGCGCTGCCTGGGCGCGCAGCGCTTCTCGCTGGCCGGCGCCGCCTTCCCGCCCGACTTCTGCGAGGGCACCTTGCCCTACTCCTACAACCTGTGCGTGGCCGCGCCGGCCCGCGCCGCCGCCGAGGCCGCTTGGCCGCCGCCACCGCTGCCCATCCTGCCCGCCGAGGAGCTTCTGGCCGAGGAGCCCTGCGACAAGCCGAGCCCGAGCAGCAGCGCCGTCGCGGGAGAGCCGTCCACAGATCCCGACGCACCGCAGGTACGTAAGTCTGTTCTCTTCGAGCTCTTCCTAACTATTGTTCTCTTTTCTTCCGTGTTTTCCCGGGTATTGTGGGTGGGGAGTGCTGGTCCGTGTCTCAGTCACAGAGTGAAGGAACTGGGCCACTCCATCCTCTAACAATACTGAGCAGTGACATTTCTTTCTTCGGTAGTCACAGGTTGAATTCCAACTGGAGGTGTTGTATGCAACATTTTAACTAATAAAGGTTAAGGTGAATTGTTACTATGAGTAACGAGATCCTCTGGTTCGGCATGAAAGAACCATGGAAATCATACTGACGTTATCTGTTAGAGATTTTTCCTTAATGATCGATTTGTTCCGAAACTATATTCTTGGACCTCGTTGATAGGTCGATGCAAACCTTTCAATTAATGCTTTTTCGGTACTGGACTCACAAAAGAGTTCTTGTTCTTCATGAATGGAGAAGTGATAGGTTCTCCATCCAGACTGAAAGTAGAGTGTGTCATCTATATTTTGCTGGATTGGTTCTAGCAGCGGGACGTCTTAACTTTTCCTAATTTTATTTTTCTATCCTGGTCGATATTCCTTTTGTGCTTTTTATTTTTTACCATTCAAAATATTTATTTCATACACCGTTGTAGATGAAGAATGAGGTCTTAAGAGGAAGAAAAAGTTGTAATTTGTGTTTCACAGTCTGTTTTCTTTTCATATCCTCTTTACAAGAAGAGAAGTGCTTGGACCTTGTATAGCGAATTCGTTCTCCTAGCTTTTGGTCTGGGTTTTTTTTTCAGTGACAATTACATCTGTCTGCTTAAAAGGATAGGACCTTAAGATTCAAAAATTTACGTTAAATCTGAAAGAGGTTCGCCAAATAACAATGTCAGCACTTGAATTTGTGCATTTATCAAGGGTACCCTAACTGAGGGTGTGCAGCCATACTTCTCTTTCCCCACTGTCCTAAAGTATTGTTGTTGCTACGTGAATATACAAGCATAATCACAGTTAACAACCAACAATCCCTTAGACCTTGATTTCTGAGAAAGAAAAGCCTCTTCCTGGGGATACAGAATGACGTGATTGTGTGCAAATATGTATAATGTGTCCAGGTTCACTGCAGGTGCTTTACAGCCTCTTGAGTAGATGTAGGTGCAATCATAACGGAGTGATCAAGTAACGGACAGTCTGAAACACAAGGATGGGAGAATATGAATTCCCAGAAGTAGGGTAGCCTCCTCCTGTGCTGTGGCCTCAGGAAGGTCTTTTAGGGACAAATCCCGGAGAACCTGGCAGGGGGTTGAGCAAGCCATTTCCTCCGGAATTGTGGAGGTTGGGGTCGTTTGCGTCTCAGTTTCAGTGGGCTGACACCACTTCCTTCCAGCTTTAGAGGTCTCAGTATCAACCAGTGTTGGTAGAGTAGTTGATTTAGGTACTATGGACTAAGATATTCATAATCAAAGTTCCTGATGCCTGGCTAAATAAGCTTAATACCTGTGGTGTTCTGGGAGGAAGGTGTGTGTGTCTGATCGTGTACATCAGAGCCCGCTTCCTTTTGCTACTCTTGTACCAGGTATTTAATTATAACTTCTAAAAATACTTGTGATGAAAATTTTAATTCTGAACTACTCTATTAGGACTCGTAATACACTTGTACGTCGTATTAAGGAAACTATATGACATACACATTGTGCGTGCACTGCCGGGAGAAGGCTGCGGGCGCCGCTGTTGACCGAGATGAGAGAGAGGAAGGCCGGAAAGCTGCAGCCCCGCCCGCAGCAGCCCGGCTCGATCGGTCTCCCGGTGTCTGGGTTGGCGATCGGGCGGTTTGCGACTGTCCTTGCCCTGCGGAGCCGTCTTGAACCGAGACGAAGTGCTCGGCGGCAGCGGCCGGGAGCGGTGAGACGGAGCTGCACCGTGAGCCAGAACGGCGGGCGGCGGCGGGAGCTCCCGACGCAGTTGCGGTGCCGGCGGTGCGGCGGCGGCGATGTGCTCGGCGGGGAGGCGCTGGGGCCGGCGGCAGCGAGTCCTGCTCTGGGGCGTCCTGCTGGCGGCCTGGGAGGCGGCGTGGGGGCAGCTGCGCTACTCGGTGCCCGAGGAGATGCCCAAGGGCTCGTTCGTGGGCGACGTGGCCAAGGACCTGGGGCTGCAGATGCCGGCGCTCAGCGATCGCGGTGTCCGAGTTATCTCTGAAGGTAGGACGCAGTATTTCGCCCTGCACGGGAAGACGGGACATTTAGTGACGGCCGAGAGGATCGACAGAGAGCAGCTGTGCCGACTGGTGGAGAAATGCGTGCTGCGCTGTGAGCTGATAGTGGAGGGACAGATGCAGGTTTACCGAATCGAAGTGGAAATCTCGGATATTAACGACAATGTGCCCAGCTTCCGAGAGGCGGAAAAAGACCTGAGACTGAGCGAGATAACACCTCCGGGGTCCCGGTTTCCCCTATCCGAAGCTAACGATCCGGACTTGGGACGGAATTCCCTGCAGAGCTACGAGCTGAGCGGCGACGAGCACTTCTCGCTGGCCGTACAGACGGGCCCCGGCGGGGATCAGCGTCCCGAGCTGGTGCTGGCGAAGGCGCTGGACCGCGAGGAGGTAGTGATCCACGAGCTGGTGCTGAGGGCGAGCGACGGCGGCGATCCGGCCCGGACGGGCACGGCGCGGATCCGCGTGACGGTGCTGGACGCGAACGACAACGCGCCCGTGTTCAGCCAGGCGGAGTACACGGTGCGTGTGCCGGAGGACGTGCCCGTGGGCTCCGTCCTCGTCACTGTCACGGCCACCGACGCTGATGAGGGTCTGAATGGGCACGTCAAATACAGGTTCCACAAAATTTCAGAACGGGATTTGGAACTTCTTTATCTGGACTCTGAGACAGGAGAAATAACAGTCAAGAACGACTTGGATTTCGAAGAAATCTCCTCCCATGAATTGGAGGTGCAGGCCCGAGATGGTGGAGAGCTCTCTGACAGGGCGAAAGTTGTCATCACCGTGACAGATGTCAACGACAATGTGCCCGAGATTTCGGTGAGGTCGGCTCTGAACGAGATCTCCGAGGACTCCCCTTCGGGGACGGTGGTGGCCCTCCTGCACGTGCAGGACCGAGACTCGGGGACCAACGGCGAGGTGCGCTGCTCGCTTGACGGGGATGTCCCGTTCCACCTGGAGAAGTCCCTCGAGGACTACTACCGCGTGGTGACAGCGAGAGAGCTGGACCGCGAGCAGCAGTCGGAGTACAACGTGACGGTGCGGGCGGCCGACGGCGGGTGGCCGGCGCTGCAGAGCAGCACGGTGCTGGCGCTGCGGGTGCTGGACGTGAACGACAACGCGCCGGTGTTCGCGCAGGAGCGCTACAGCGCGCGGCTGCGGGAGAACAACGCGGCGGGCGCGCTGGTGCTGGTGGTGCGGGCGACGGACGCCGACTGGGGTGGGAACGCGCGCGTGCGGTACCGGCTGGCGGAGGGGCGGGTGCGGGGCGCGCCGCTGTCGTCGTACGTGTCGGTGCAGGCGGAGACGGGCGCGCTGTACGCGCTGCGCTCGTTCGACTACGAGCAGGTGCGCGAGGTGGGGCTGTGGGTGCGGGCGGAGGACGGCGGCTCGCCGGCGCTGAGCAGCAACGTGTCGGTGCGGCTGCTGATCGTGGACGAGAACGACAACGCGCCGCAGGTGCTGTACCCGCCGGCGGCGGGGCCGGGCGCAGGCTTGGGGGCGGGGGCGGGCTCGGGCTGGGCGGGCGTGGAGCTGGCGCCGCGCTCGGGCTCGCCCGGCGCGCTGGTGGCCAAGGTGGTGGCGGTGGACGCGGACGCGGGGCAGAACGCGTGGCTGTCGTACGAGCTGGCCAAGGCCACGGAGCCGGGGCTGTTCCGCGTGGGGCTGCACAGCGGCGAGGTGCGCACGGCGCGCTCGCCGCTGGCCCGCGACGCGGCGCGCCACAGCCTGCTGGTGCTGGTCAAGGACCACGGCCGGCCGGCGCTGTCGGCCACGGCCACGCTCAGCCTGGTGCTGGCCGACAGCGTGGCCGAGCTGCTGGCCGAGCTGGGCAGCGCGGCGCACGCAGAGGCGGCGCCGGCCGAGCCGGCCGCCAGCCTGACGCGCTGGCTCGTGCTGGCCGTGGCCGCCGTCTCCTGCCTCTTCCTCGCCTTCCTGCTGCTGCTGCTGGCGCTGCACCTGAGGCGCTGGCGCCGCTCGCAGCAGCAGCAGCAGCAGCTGCTGGCCACGGCCGGCGCCGCCTTGCGCGGCGTGCCTGCCACGCACTTCGTGGGCATCGACGGCGTCCGCGCCTTCCTGCGCTCCTACTCGCACGACGTGTCTCTCACGGCCGACTCGCGCAAGAGCCACCTGCGCTTCTCGGCCGCCAGCTGCTGCGACACCCTGCCGGCCCGCCCGCCGCCCGCCGAGCCCGCGCCGCTGCTCGGTGACGATGAACCTGCCGGCGACCGTCCCATCGACCCTGCCCCTTCCCCGGTGAGTTCCTTTTACCTCATTTTCATTCCCTTCCTTTCTTAATAGTTGGCCTTCTTTCCTCTTTTCTCTGTCATTCTTCGTGTACGTTGGTATGACGAGGGACAGACTGGCACAGGGGAACTCGTGTGCTCTTGCCCCTTCTTCCTAGAGGACCTTATTGTTTATTACTTGCTCAGGCTGGTGTGGAATGCTGAAGAGGCGAGGGTGCTTTGTATCCTGTCCTATTTCTGTAAGTGGTAGTAGCTTTTAAGTCGATACCAATGTAATGTAGGAGGCACATCTACTCTATAATCTCTGTGGTGTTGAACCTTGCAGAGAAGTGCATTTCCCCTTCCTGAAGAGGTAACGTTATTGGTGTTCTATATCTGTAACTTGGCCTTTTGATTACATGTGGTTGGCAATCGTGAGGATCAAAGAGTATTATGCAAGTTGTGAATGGCTGGAGTTGTGAGTCCTGGGAGCTGTGCATGAAGGACCCTTGAGAGTCACAGAAGGAGTATTTTTTTCTAGAGAACATGTTATTCCAGTTGTATTGAGAGCTTTAGGAATTTTCTCCTGCGTTTCTGTAGGTTGCTGTTCTGGTTTGAGTATTGTTTGGTTTGTTTGTTTGTGTGTGATTGTTTTGTTTGTGTTTGTTTGGGGGTTTGTTTGTATTTCACTAGCAGCATAGTTATGTACTTATGACATATAATGGGGTCTTTGTGAAGAGATGACAGATTATTCTTTCCTTACTAAATACCTGAATTTCCTATCTAGCCTAACTGCCTTTATTAAGAATATATTGTGTCATATATTTCATTATGCACGCTTTAACTTCTTGTCTTGCTCATTGTGATGAGCCAAAGGTGAGGAATTTTCTCTGATGGTGTGTGGAAGATCATATGCATTCCATTTGCCCAGCTGTCCAGCAGGTGCCTTTCATGTTTACAGCTGTTAAGAGAAAGATTTTCAGACACTTTTTTCCTTAAAATGCCAGTGGAAGAAATGCTCTTGCTCGTCACATACACATGATGAAAAGTCAAATATTGTCCAAGGTAAGGAGAAGTTGTCTGTGCAACTTTTGATGGAGTCTGCCTGCAAGTGATGAAGATTAATGAAAATTATGCAATCTGTCACTGGTTTGAGGAGTGTCTCGGGGGTCCTGTGTGTGAGGAGGTACTGGTGGGGACAAGTGCAAGTGTTCTGTTGCTGCTCTACAAACGTGAATCTGAAGGTGTCTTATTTTTTATGTTACACTACTCAGATTTTGACAGGCCTAGTTGAGTGTTCATCAGTTTGCTTTCCTGTTTCATGATGATTCCTATGAATGGTGGTTATTAGGCATAGATGCAACCTTTGCATTAATTTACTAGTGTAATGTGTTTTCTGGGTTGCCCTTGTGCTGGAGAAGGATGATGCTGTCTTTCAGCTGATACTTTAATGACCAGGACTATATCTGAGCTGTATATTGCTTATGTCCTTTAGAGTTTTTTTATGTTTCTTCAAATTATATGAAGAATGAACGTGTGTTGTGGTCTTTGGGCTCTGCACATCTGTGTGCACCACATTTCTTTCACTGACTCTCTGCAAACTTATCTCTTTGTGGTATGATATTTGGGAAAGGTGAAGAGTTCAGACTGTACAGAGAAAGGGCAGGTGCAAGAGTTCACTGTGGTATAGTTTGAAATGGCTAGAAGGAAGGTCTCAAAGTTCAGTTTTCCCCAGTTTTTAGATGAGGCCTACAGATGTGCTTTCATGCATTTCCTTTATTATTATTATTATTTATTATTATTATTATTTATTATTATTATCCAGAGGAATTCCTTTGAGGAACTACAGCTATAGTGAGTGGTGTGAACTCCTGTGTGAGCCTTGTGTGTACTTATTAGCAAGTAGTTACTTTTTCTGTGTACTTATTACAATTGACACAATCTGAAAGGTTAAGGTGTGATTTTTACACTTCTGCAGGTTTCCCATGACTGCCTTGTTTCTTTGTTCACTTCTAAAGTTGGGCCTCTTTGTACGTGGTAGCTCTGAAAACATTAATATAAGACTGACAGATTATCAGGCTGGTGAAGTAGTTTATAGCTGTAAGTTGAAGACTGACAGCAGCCAAGATGTGATGGGTTAACCTTGTAGAGCCACCAGGGGCCCACCAAGCTGCTGGACAAGGGAGAGAAATTATATGGAGAGGCTCATGGATCCAGATAAGGATGGGGGATCACTCAGCAATTACTGTCCTGGGCAAAACAGACTCCACTTGGGAAAAGTAATTGAATCTATTGCCAATTAAAAGTCAGAACTGGACAAGGAGAAACAACAAAATTAGTTCTATTTATTACCAATCAACTCAGAACAGGATAATGAGAAATAAAATCAAATCTTAAAAACTCCTTTTCTCCATTCCTCTCTTCTTTATGGGCTCAATTTCACTCCCAGTTTCCTAGCTCCTCTCAAGAGGTGCAACGGTACTGGAAATGGGGGTTGGGGTCAGTTTATCATGACCACTCCTTCCTCCTCATGCTCTTCCCCTGATCCAGCATAAAGTCCTACCTGTGGTAGACAGTCCATTATTAAATTCTCCATCTGAATCCTTCCCACATGATGCAGATCTTCATAAACTGTTCCAAAAGGGGTCTTTTCCACAGGGTGTAGTCCTTTAAGAATGGACTGCTCCAGCATGGGTGAACTGCAGGGCTCAGGTCCTGCCAGCAGACCTGCTGCTGCATGGGCTCCTCTCCACAGGGACACATGTTCTTCCAAGAACCTTCTACAGTGTGAGGTCTCCACAGGGCCACAGCTTTCTTCAGGGCACATCCACCTGCTCCAGCGTGAGCTCCTTCCTAGGAAGCAGGGTAGATATCTACTCCACCACAGACCTCCATGTGCTGGGGGGAGACAACCTGCCTCATCATGGCCTTCATCAGGGGCTGCAGGGGAATATCTGCTCTGGCACCTGGAGCACCTCCTTCTTCCCTGACCTTGGTGTCTGCAGAGCTGTTTCTCTTGCATATTCTCACTCATCTCTCCTTGCTGCCGTTGTGCAGCTGGTCTCAAACCTTCTTAAATATGTCGCCACAGAGGGACTATCACCACTGCTGACTGGTTTAACAGTGGGTCCATCTTGGAGCCAGACAAAACTAGCTCTGTCATACATAGGGTTACCATCTGGCATCTTCTCACAGCAACCATCCTTGTAGTCCCCCTGCCACCAAAACTTTGCTATTCAAACCCAATACACAAGACAAAGACTTTGATGTACTTCTGCTTCCATAAAATGGCACTGAATTAAATGAACATGTGGCTGATATGTGAGAATAGTTGGATGTTGTCCACCTAAAGGCTGTGAATGCAGAGTAGGAATGGTGACAGACTGACTTGGAACCAGGAAAACAGGTGAGTCAGTGTGATTTTGGCTGGGCAATTATTTGATTTTATTTCTGGTAGCAAGGCCTGTGCATTCATGCTGTGATCTTGTTTTCCCTGTCCTGAAAGGTAATGGCAGGTCTCCAACATGGAGATTAACTGCATACAGAATGATGATGATCTTCCTGCTTGCAGAGGACTCTTTCAGTGGGGACACCTGTGGGCAATGGAGCCCAAGCACCAGCACAGAATAGCCCCCCGTGGACACTGTTTTGCCATGTGACTATAAACCTGTGTTCACTCTTGGTTGTCTTGGAGCCTTTCTGAAATTCTGTCCACTTTTCTTTGGGTTTCTCTGGGTGGTGTGGATGGCAAGTGCTGATCTGTGCCTCCATAAAGGAATGAAAGTAAGAAGAGTGTAAACTCCCATTCATCCAGAGCAAGAATTGAGGCACGGCACTAGCCTTTTCATCCTATATTTAGGCTCATGGAGAGTTTCAGATGATTCAGCTGCTGCAAGGAAAAATGGCAAAGCTAGATGATGTGAACCTAAATAACTTGGATTTGCAGTGAGATTTTTTTCCCTGTGTAAATACTTTTCCTGATTGGGATGCACTTGGCCCTGGTTGATAGCATTGAAGAGATAGCTGTTGGTTATTGTTGTTTTGATAATGGAAGTCCTAAAGGAAATGTGTGTGATTAGTGAATTGAGAAATTAAGGTTTGTTCTACATGAAGAACAGGAGAGCATAAAGAGAGGAGTCTCAATGTTCTCCCAGCTTTTGGAGGAAGGCTGCTGCAGAAGTGTTGGCATTAGTAGGATGGATTAATTTTCTCCAGGTGTGATTCCTCTGGGTTCTTGCTGCAGCTGTTTCTCATTGTTTATTTCATCCTTAATGACAATACTTTTTACCATTCCTCTTCTATCTGCTATTTACAAGTGAAGGTCTAGGGAGATGTCAGTGTATCTCTAAGGGTAGAAACCCTGCAGGGCTGTAATTACTGAGTCCTAAATACTAAATTTCATCCATACACACTTTCAAAGTTTGCAGCTGCCAAAACAAATACTTTGATGTACTTCTGTTTCCATAAGACATCACCAAATGAAATGCTTTTTCACCTGTGACCAATACATGACCGATAGCTAGATTTGTCCATGGTGCAAATAAAGGCTGTGAATGCAGAGCAAGGAGGGTCAGAGGCTGACTTTGAACCAGGAAATCAGGTGGGTCAGTGTGGTTTTGGCTGAGCAATGGTTTGATTTCATGCCCGATGCCAAGGCCTGTGCCATTTTTTTTTTTAATGATCTTGCTTTCCCTATCCTGAAACACAACGGCAGTCCTCCAATAATAGAGCATTTGTACAATAACTCTGCATTTAGAAGGATGATTTGTGGGTAGCACAGCTGATAATTCCTGTGGGAAATCACATTTGTTCAAATTATATATACCTATAACATTTTACTGTAGAATTTCTTCACAGTTTTAATAACACTCTTTCGGGCCTTCATTTCCTGGAAGGTTTGTTTCC